ATATATATATATAAAAGCTTATGCCTTCTTCTCCCTTTCTCTTTCATATGAACTCTCCAGCCAGGTGTCCAGAGAAAGCTTTCACCTGTGACAATGGAGAATGCATTACGAAAATAAACCCAGAGTGTGACTTCGTTCCTGACTGTTCCGATGCATCTGACGAGGCTCACTGTGGTAACCTCTTATTTGATCTCAGACAGCCATTGCTGACAACATTAGCTTCATCAATGATTTTAGCTTCTACAAACTCTGACCTTCGTTTAAATCTCCCCCAACTCAGACTGTGGCACACGTCCAGCCATGGGGAGTCGAATAGTGGGAGGTGTGGATGCTCGACAAGGGGAGTTGCCTTGGCAGGTCAGTCTGAGGTACCACTGGCGGCACACCTGTGGAGCCTCCATCGTCAATGAGCGCTGGCTTGTTAGTGCAGCTCACTGCTTTCAAGGGTAGGTGGAATATTTGTGGGGAGGGGCGTTCTTACGTAATAGTTTATTAGAATCAGTAACACAATGTAGCAAAAATGTGTCTCTTTTGTTTTAGTGCTACTGATCCCAGCGAGTGGACAGCTCTGGTCGGGGCCAGACTTGTAAGTGGTGCAGACTCACAGAACAAAGCCATCAACATCAAGTCCATATTTGTGAATCCGGACTATGACCCCGTGACCAATGATTTTGACACGACTGTCCTGGAACTGGCGAGCCCTATTTCCTTCAGCCCTTACGTCCAGCCTATCTGCATCCCCTCTTCATCTCATGTCTTTGAACCTGGTCAGAACTGTGTTGTGTCTGGATGGGGCGCTCTTCAGGCATTTAGTTGTGAGTTTGCACACATGGAAGCACTCCATCACCCAACAGATGAGTAGACTGTTGTTTTTAAAGATTTTTTTGGATGTATTGCTGAATTTCAACATGAAGTACAGCCAAAGAGAGAAACAAGACAATACTTTGTATCATGTGCTCCTGTTGTTCAGTCCAGCTGCCCACTGTGCTACAGAAAGCAGTGGTGAAACTCATCGACTCCAAGGTGTGCAATCAGTCATCTGTGTACAAAGGTGCTATTACTCAAAACATGATGTGTGCTGGGTTCCTGCAGGGGAAGGTGGACTCATGTCAGGTCAGTGCACCTAAAAAAACAGCTCACATAAGGTTAGTTTATTACACTTTATGTTTTTTAAGAGCATAGTGCACGATCTGTGGGCAATATGGACAAATATGTTATCATCTGCATTCACTTTGGGCAGCGAACAATACAAGAAAATCTGCTTCCTTGAAGCAAGTTATAAGTTAAAGGGGATGGATCAAGATTTTTGCACAGTACTGGAGTAATGTCGTCCTCGTCCAAAAAGTGTCTTTTGTTTAACTGAGTGACATCTTATTAGGAAACACTTGAATGCCATCAAACTGCACTTCAGTCAAATGTTACCAGAATACCACAAGCTTTATCTGCTTCCAGATTAGAAAACCAGTGGTGATGTGTCTTCTGCAGGGTGACTCTGGGGGACCTCTTGTATGTGAAGGAGCTCCAGGGAGGTTCTTCCTGGCTGGTGTGGTGAGCTGGGGTGTGGGATGTGCACAGATCAACAAACCAGGAGTTTATGCTCACATCACCCGACTCAGAAAGTGGATTTTGAAGCACACTAACCCCAGCTTGGCCAATGATCCGGCAAAGGCTGTTCCCACTATAGTGGCTCCAGTGTCTAAGAGGCCAACTGGTAACACTCCTGCACCCAGGACCATGGCCATGGATGATCCTCCTGTAGAAGCACTGTCAGGTAATGAGCTCATTTATTGTGGATCAAGACAAACAGCACAATTGCAATCATTAGTCATTTGTCCATCGTGTGTTTCAGCCATGAACTGCAGTGAAAACTTCCAGTGTAGCTCCAGTTTGTGCATTAGCAAAGTTAACCCGGAGTGTGACAGTGTTCCCGACTGCCCCAATGAAGCCGATGAAAAAAACTGTGGTAAATAACTTAAAGCCTGGTGTACACTGGAGATAACAGACATGCTCCTGAGATTGTTTGTTTTTCAGACTGTGGTGTGCGTCCTGCTGTGGGTTATCACAGGATCATAGGTGGAGTAACAGCTCGCAGGGGAGAGTGGCCCTGGATTGGAAGTCTCCAGTACAAGAAACTCCACATCTGTGGCGCCACACTCATTCACAAGAAGTGGTTACTGACTGCAGCACACTGTGTAAATAGGTACATTTACCTTAAAACCATCCCTTTGATTACACTCTCAACAGGAACAACCCTTCTGTAACAGTATTCATTCACAACCCACTCCCACAGTGACTCCAGTCCCACCAACTGGGCTGTAAGCCTTGGATCTGTGCTACGATCCGGGATGGGGGCTCTCGTCATTCCTATACAGAGAATGATCGTCCACCCAGCTTTCAACGGCACCAACATGAACCACGATGTGGCCCTTCTGGAGCTGTCAGTCCCAGCCCCGTTGTCCTACACCATCCAGCCCGTTTGTCTTCCCTCACCTGCGCATCACTTCCTGAGGAGCACAGAGTGCTTCATCGCAGGGTGGGGGTCCATGAAGGAAGGAGGTGCGAGATGACTTACAATGAAGCTCTGTTTAGATATCCAAGAGAATGATAATGAGATGACATGCTGTATCTGCTGATGCAGACATGTTCACAGTCATTAAAGATACACATTTATTTGTTGCAGTAAGACTTGGATTTTGTGAAAGCACCAAACTAAAAAGGATTATACTTACAGGTTTTTTGACTAACCTGCTGCAGAAAGCTACAGTGAGCATTATTGACCAGGCAGACTGTCTGCAGTCCTATGGAAACGTGTTGACTCCTAACATGATGTGTGCTGGATTTATGGAAGGAGGAAAGGACACGTGTCTGGTAAGATGTGAACGTAATATATCTATATCATATAATATTTAATTATAATACATTATATTCAGACATTACTGTGAATATGCGCTGAACATTTGGGTGGTCCGCTCTGAACACACTCCAAGTATCAGTTCTCGGGAGTTCTGCAAAGTTGGGTCATGTGTTAGACAGATCTTGAAACCAAAGTTTAAAGAAGTAACTCTGTTAGTAAATGATCTGATAACTGATCGTTATTTTGATTTATTCTGTCTGACAGAAACTTGGCTACAACAGGACTATTTTGTTAGTATAAATTAATCTACTCCTGCTTATTATTTAAGTTTTCGTGTTCCTAAAACAATTAACTGATCGAGGTAGAGAAGTAGCTGCTATTTTTCAGTCAGGATTATTGAGTAATCTAGATTTCAAAATGTTGCTTCTATCATACAAAGCTCTCAACAACCTAGATCCATCTAATATTACCAATTTTATTGTTCCAGATTGTCCTAACAGAGCACTTCACTCAGACTGCAGGTCTACTGGTGGTTCCTAGAGTTTCCAAAAGCAGAACGGGAGGCAGAGCTTTCAGTTATCAGGCTCCTCTCTTGTGGAATTATCTTCCAGTTTCTGTCCATGAAGCTGACACGTCTACTTTTTACAGTCACCTTAAGTCTTTCCTTTTTGATAAATCCTAGTTAGGCTTGGCTTAGGTTTCCTGACCTATCCCTTAGCTATGTGGCCTCCTGGAGGACAAGTTGACCACATTTCCTCACTCTATCCTTAACATGTTTTTTTTTTTTTGTCTTTGTTCCAATAGAAAGTACACCTGCACCTGTCATTCTATGTTTGTCTGTTTCTCCTTCCTGTCCTCTCAGACCCCAGCTGGTCAAAGCAGATGGTCGCTCGTCCTGAGCCTGGTTCAGCTGGAGGTTTCTTCCTGTTAAAAGGAAGTTTTTCCTTTCCACTGTTGCCACTGTGCTTGTTCAGGATGGGAGACTGTGACAAAGTAAAGATACAACACATTCTGCAGGCTTCCTTAGATACATAACTTTTACTAATTGTCTTTTATAATGTATGTGAATGTTTTTGTACAGTGCTCTGAGACGACTTATGTTGTGACTTGGTGCTATAGAAATAAACTGAATTGAATTAATAGTTTCTATACCCTTCTCTCTTTCTCTCGCTCTTCTTTCAATCACCCAGGGAGATTCTGGAGGCCCTCTGACATGTCGTCACCTCTCTGGTCAGTGGTTTATTGCCGGAGTGACCAGCTGGGGACACGGATGTGGACGAACTGGTTTTCCAGGGGTTTACACTCGTGTGACGTCAATCAGAAAATGGATTTCTACACACCTACCCTTTTAAAGAAAAAAAAATGCTGAGAAAGTAAACTATTCTGCCTGTAGAAAATAAAAGCTTGCGGTCACATTGACATCAAAGAGATCTCCACAAAATTGTACTGTAACTGACTAACTGGACCAAAGTCATGCAGAATTCACACATATACTCAGTTAACACTGTACCGACCTGTGGTCATGGGTGCTCCTGTAATACTGTGCAATCGTTTGATAGAAGGCCGTTCTACTTTAACGTGTACTGAAGACATGCTGTGGGTGATTGATACTCTACCAACAGATGATGAACAGTGATTGGAAGCCTTCATTAGTTATTTATTTTGCTGATGGGTAAAAAATATATTGGTAATGGTGTGTTTTTATATACAGTATACTGTGTGGGTTTTTAGATTATTTACCAATCCGCTGGAACATTTTAACCACTAATTATCTCATTTGAGTGCATCCTGACATTTACAATTATATTTTGCCTTCCACCATTTCTGTAATTTGAGACCAGTGTCCTCCTACAAGGCATTGCACCTCATCATGCTACAAAAATGTTCCAGGTATTTTAAATATTTTTAAAGATCAAAGATAATTTCTCCCATCCTTTAAATTCAGATGACAATTCATCCATTATCTTCACCCGCTTCTTCCTCTTAGGGTCGCGGGGGTCACTGGAGCCCATGTCCAACAGTCAGTGTGTGAGAGGCTGGGGACAACCTGAACAATTCACAAGTCCATCACAGGACAGAGACAAACGAGACAACCATTCACTCTCTCACTCACACCTAGGGTTAATTTAGAGTTACCAATCAGCCTAACATGCATGTTTTTGGTCTGTGGGAGGAAACCAGAGTACCCGGAGATAAATCACGCATGCACGAAGAGAACATGCAAACTCCACCCAGAAATACGGGATTTGAACCGGTGCAACTTGAATGCTGAGAGGTGGCAGCTCTACCAACTGCACCACCGTGTTTCCACCAGATCACATTCCTAACATCAATAGTGGGATTTGCAAAAAATTAAAAAAATAGTGCACATAGCCAGATGTGTCACAGCTTTTTAACAGCACATCAGTATTCACTTGGCATTTAATGTGGATTAACAGGGTTTGGTTTGTCTATACGTATAATTTTTAAATCTGCTCCTAGAAAACAAGACAAATATGTAATTTAAACAGAAAAGTGGCTTTTCTGTGGGAAGTATTTGTGATAAAATGTGATATTTGAATTAAACTGAGCTTTATGAATTCAGCTTGTGTTTACTCACAACAAGTTATGCAAGAAAAGCTCCAGGCTAACCAGATTTATTGATTTAATCATTAAAATATCTTTCATTTAGTCACATATAACATTCAAATGTTCCTCTCACTCAAACTTTGCAACACTGCTGTAAAAAATAAATAAAATGTGGTTGCCATACATTCGACACCTGTACACTTAAAGCTGGGACAGTTGCTGCAGTGAGGCAGAGCCCTGCTGAAACAAGCCCACCTCTGTGGAGGGCAGCAGATAGAGTGACAGAGGAACCATATAAGACAAAACTGGTTTGTTCTCCAGCTGCACTTTGATATTGGCTGCTTGGATGGCTGTAAATGTCAGAATCTCAGCCGTGAAAACATAATCAGTTCTGATTTAGGAAAATCCCCTCCAAAGAAAATAAAATGTATCCTTGCCAAAATCTGTATGGTGGTTTACTGTTTACATGAATGAAATTGTAGCTGTTTAAATTATCTACAAACAGTAGCAATAATGATGAAATGCCTCCAAATAATTTAATTTAATTAGTTTATTTATATAGTGCCAATAGACAACAGAAAACAAATTGATTTGACAAACAAGTCCATTAAGACTGTTTGCTGACATTTCACACAAATATTCAAGAGTATTTGAGCACCTGATGGTCCAACAGGAGCAGGCAGATAAAATGGAGATGTGAGGCTTTTAAAATTAAACTAAATTAGGTTTTTTTTTTCTAAGTTTTAAAGATTATAGGCAGAATTTTCACAGGAAAAAAGAAAATGCCAAATGCAGGAACTAGATGAGTTACCCTTGAGACGTCCAGTTGTACAACTAACAGATCTGGTTACAGCTGGGGCAGACAAACATATTAACCTCAGTTCATTGTCAGAAACATGACGGAGTAGATGAAGCGTTTTTAACTAGCTTAACACATTTAAAAATTGGGGCAATATATCAGCTGCACCTTAAAAATGACACGCAGAAGATGAGTTACTGGACGTACAACATAAAAATAATCAGACTTTATTGGTGATGAGTTATAAGGAAAAAATGTCTACAGACACACTGTTATAGCTTGGAGTCCACAGGCCTCGTCCGCCTGCTTGTCTGTCTGAGGTTTCATGACAGATCTGATGTGCTGCTGCTGTTAGACACACATGGTTTCACAGTTCAGGGCCTCCAGCGGTGCACTGTGCTGGTCCTTATTCTCAGCAGCGGTTCGATAAAAGGAAGAAGAAAATTACAGACAGGTCACATGCGAGCTCTTTCCCTCTGCAACCTTGAGTTGTATGTTCGGGACACGGTGTTCCAGGCGTCCATATATCTGTCCATACACATGGCAATACATTTCTGTGGAAGCAAAAGTGAAGAATTTAATTGTTTTGACACAAATAGTAAGTGCAATATTGTATGAAAATGATCTCTAACATAAACTATTATTGTACAAGACAACTGCTGTTTGGTTAATTACAAAGCCAGTAAACTTTGCAACACAATTTCCAACCACATTTTCAGAGTATTAAATAATCAACAATGAGTTTATATCACTCCAACATTCACATACCTGCTCTGAGTTGTCCAGTGAGCTCCCTGGTTTACCTATGCACTTCTTGAAGCATTTATCTGTCATTCTCTACAACATAACAACACAGTGATTATTGGGGTGCATGACGTCAGCATCTCAGAATTCAACAGACCTTAAACGCAGCTCAATGTGCGTCAAACAAGTATGGCAACATAAAACTAAATAAATCCAGAAAAACTGCTAACAAGATCAATATGTGTCATCCATCAAAAGAATAAAACTGAGAAAATAAACCCTAAAACTCGCCCTCACGGACTCAGATACAGCCGTTAGCTCAGTTAGCTTAGCATTTACGTCCATTGATTTACCTGTAGAAGCTCTTGTGCGTTAGCCACCGCGATTTGGACCTTAACCTGTTCCATGATGGTACCGGCGTCCATTTTGCCACCAGAACTTCCTGCTGAGAAATCCGAACCAAACCCGTCCATTTCTACCGGACTTCTGCTCAAAAACTACGTTTATTACAAGTGCACGTGCTATCTCAGCCGCTGCTAAGTTTAATAAGCCGCAGTTTTCAATGCCCTTGACTAAGGCGGATGTCCCTAAACGTCAATCCGTAAAAGCAACATTGCATTATGGGAAATGTCGTTTTAAAAGTATAATCGTTTTCAAAGCGCTTTTTCGTTCAAATTACAACGTGAAACCCCGTGTAGCTCGTTAGTTATTATTATGATAATACTGACTACTAATAAAACAAACCACTGGTAGCAAACTTTTCATTCAACCTTTATTTATACAGGTTAATCCCATTGAGCCACGGGAACTCGTTTACAAGAGACGTGAAACTACAAATAAGTCAAACTGGATATCAAACTACAAATAAGTCAAAAAGTAAAAGAAAAAAAAACTTAGCTTGGTAAGCAAACGTGCATTGGTGAGGCATATGGGAATGCTTTATTTATCCATCCATTGCATTCCATTTATTATCTTCTACCCGCTTCTTCCTTTTTGGGTCAGGGGGGTCACACTGGTGTCCATACTCAGCAGTCACTGTGAGATAGGCAGGGTACACCCAGGTTGCAAATACATCACAGATGGACTGTGTTTATGGATTATGCTGCTTTATTTAGTTATATCCATCCATCCATCCATCCATTATCTTTTACCCACTTCTTCCTTTACGGGTCACGGGGGTCACTGGTGCCCATGTCCAGCCATAACTGTGCGAGAGACGGGGGACACCCTGGACATGTTTATTTATTTGAATTCTGTGGAGAAAAATATGGAAACCAAAACAGATTACTTGATCTAATTAAATTTTGACCTTCTGATGACAAGTCATAAAACTACAGGTATTAGAAGCCTTTGCATATGTGTCAAACTCAAGGCCCGGGGGCCAAATGTGGCCCTCATTGACATCTTATCTGGCCCCTAAGATGTTATTTTAAATGTAAAATACTTGTATCACTTTATTTATTTTTTTCAGTTATCTTTGATTATGATGTCAAAAGTGCAACAGAGAACGTCAAATGAGACCAATCAAACTGTTTGTGAGGAACCTGTGACCAAGAAAAGATGTTGGGTATCTAACTTGAGTTAATCTAGATTCTGAAACTGGCCCTTAGTTTTAAAAAGGTTTTAATTTTGACCCCATTTTGTAAGCGGGTTTGACACCCCTGCTAAAACATCAACAACTGACCCCATTAACTTTTTTACTTTTCTAAACAGATAATAAATGAAGCACAAGGTGGCGCTGGAGGAGAAGATAATCTCTGAAGTCAGTGGAGTTTATTTATGACTACTCCACATAAAATGTTTCAGTGACGCATTTTCTGGATTTTAGAAGGCAAAATGATTGTTAGAATATGTTTTTATTTATATAATTATAATTTGTATATATTTTTGGCCTGCTACCTTAAGAACATTGCTTATAGTAGTGCTGGACATTTGCTTTGGTGCATTTCTGTTCTAAATTGCTACCATAGAGGAAAAACAACAAACTTTTGATGAAATCAAAAACAAACAAAAAAAAACATTCAGGTTAAAATTATCTGAGCTATATGGTAAGGGAATGCACAATAATTACCCCCACCACACACATACACACACATGCACACACTAAAGCACACAGTCTTCAGAGCAGTGGCTTGGAGGTGTGGGGCTGGATGAGAGGAGGGTTAAAGAGCATCAAAATTAATGACCCCCAATCATGAGTTCATTAATCTAATCTTCTTATTTAGGCACACTTGTGTGTATGAAAAAAATGAAACGATGTGTTCAAGACAGCTTTAGTGTGAAGACTTCAATGGACACGGGAAGATGAACGTTTCAATTAAGATTAAGTAACCACAAAAACTTCAGTGTAAGATTATTTTGTAAACTAGAATGATAGTGACAGAATCAATAGAAAACATGCAGATTACAATAAACTAACTAAATAAATCCATCATCCATTATCTTTACCCGCTTCTTCGTTTTTGGGTCGTGGGGGTCACTGGTGCCAGCAGTCACTGTGCGAGAGGTGAGGAAACAGGTTGCAAGTCCATCACAGGAACACATAGAGACAAACGAGACAAATAACAATTCACAATAAATAAATAAGTGAATATTTTATTTTTCTTCTTCTTTTGACTTATCCCCTATTCAGGGACCGCCACAGCGAGTCGTCCTCTTCCATCTCACTCTGTCCTCTGCATCCTCTGTCCTCACTCCATGTCCTCTCTAACTGCATTCATATATCTCCTCTTTGTCTTTTTCCTGGCAGCTGCATTTCTAACATCCTTCTGCCAATATACCCTCTGTCTCTCAAACCATCTCAGTTTGACATCTGCTCCGCAGACTTGGAGGCGTGTTGCTTCCTATCTTCATGCACTACTATTGGGCAGCTAACACTAGAGCTCTTGTATTTTGGTTGGGAAAGGACACCCTTTCTCCTAGTTGGGTGGCCTTGGAAATGGCCTCAGTTAGATCCAGTTCTCCTTCTGCATTACTCTACTCTCAGCTGCCCTTTAAACAATCAATATCAACCTACACTTCTAACCCAATTGTGATCTGGGCGGTTAAGATTTGGAATCAGTTCAGGAGGGCATTTAACTTTACTGAGCTACTGTTTTTGGAACCTTTGTCAAATAATCACGTTTACTCCCTCAGTAACTGATACAGCTTTTGACACCTGGGCCATGAGGGGAGTGCATTCACTGTGCAATCTCTATGTTGATGGTAGATTTGCCTCTTTTGAGCAGCTGGTACAGAAGTTTAATATTCACAAGTCACAGTTTTTTAGATATTTACAGCTGACATTTTGTGAGGTCTAACTCAGACTGTTTTCCTCTGTACCCCTCTAAACATTTTGTGGCTAAGATTCTGGAATGCGGGTCTGATAACAAGGGGGTCCTGAGCAAAATTTATACATTGCTCAGTTCATACCATGAGTCCAGTTTGGACTCCCTTAAACTGAAATGAGAAGCAGACTTGGAGGAACCCATATCAGACTCAATCTGGAGAAGGATCATCAAGAAAATGTAATCATCTTTCATCTATCTGAGATATACTGTAATTCAATTCAAGGTGGTGCACAGGCTGCACTGGTCCAAAGACAAGTTGTCCAAGATCAAAGCTGACCTGGACCCTGCATGCAATTGTTGCAAACAAACTCCAGCTACACTCTTGCATACATTCTGGACCTGTCCCAAACAACAGACTTTTTGGCAATCTATTTTTGACACCTCCTCTGGAAAATGTGGCAAAACTGTACACCCATCACCACTCATCTCACTGTTCGAGGTGGTCGCTGTGGATACGTCCTTCAGCAAATGCGAGAAGGATGTGATTGCTTTTGGCTCTCTTCTGGACAGGAGGGTATTTTTGTGCAAATGGAAGGACCCACAACCCCCATCACATGTACATTGGATAAGGGAGGTGATGTATCATATCCATTTGTAAAAAATAAGATATACCCTGAAGGGGTCTGTCAAAAGATTTTGGGACACGTGGAACCTTTTCATGTTATATGTGGAAAATTTGTCAGTGCCTTTTTAATTTCTTTATGTATGTGTGACTGATCTGGAGTAGTAGGGAAGGGGTGGGAGGGGTATCTTTTTTGTTTCTTGTTCTTTATGTTTTGTATGTTCTAAATGAAAAATTAGTAAAAAGACTTATTGTTGTTCATGCTGCTGTGTTCATTCATACTCATCTGCTCACACAGACTCATATTTGAGCAGTGCTTAGTGTATTTTTAGTTTACCGTATTTCTTAGTTCTTATCTTAGATCTTACTAATGTTTTTCCTTAAAATTTATATTTTTGTTGGATGTAACTGGGACCCTGTGTACATAATTTCATTCCACCACATGAACCATATATGGTGCAAACGACAAATAAAGAAACTTTGACTTTGACTTAAAAAAAAAAAATATCTCAGTCTGGCCTCTCTAACTTTATCTCCCAGTTGTTCAACCTGTGTTGTACCTCTTATGATCTCATTCCTAATCTTATCCATCCTTGTCAGTCCTAAGAAGAACTTCAGCATCTTCATTTCTTCTACTTCAAGATCGTTCTCCTGTTATGTTTATCAATGCCACTGTCTCCAGACTATTTAACATAGCTGGTCTCACTACTGTCTTGTAAACTTTTTTTTTTAACCTTGTCGCCACATTTTTTTCACATATCACTCCTGAAACTTTTCTCCATCCACTCCTTTCTGCCTGGACTCTCTTTTCACCTCTTTAACACACACCCTATTTTCCTGGACAGTGGACCATAAGTACGTAAAGTCCTGCACCTTTGTGACCTCTGCTCCTTGTTGCCTCACTGTTCCACCGGCCTCCCTCTCATTCACACACATGTACTCTGTCTTACTACGGCTAACTTTCATTCCTCTTCTTTCAAGTGCATACCTCCACCTCGCTAAGTTCTCTTGCACATTTTCCCTGTTCTCACCACAGATCACAATGTCATCTGCAAACATCATAGTCCATGAGGATTCTTGCCTGACCTCATCTGTTTGTCAGTCCATAACCAGAGCAAACAAGAAGGAGGTCAGCTGATTCTTGATAATATCCCACCTCCACCTTGAAGCTATCTGTCACTCCTACAGCACCTCTCACCACTGTCCTGCTGTCCTCATACATGTCCTGTACCAATCTAACATACTTCTCTGCCACTCCAGATTTCCTCATGAAATACCACACCTCCTCTCTTGGCACCCTGTCATATGCTTTATCTAAATCCACAAAAACACAATGGAGTTCTTTCTGACTCTCTCTGTACTTCTCCATCAGCATCCTCAAAGCAAATATGGTGTCTGTGGTGCTCTTTCTTGGCATGAAACCATACTGCTGCTCACAGATAGCCACCTCTCGTCTAAGTCTAGATTTCACAACTCTCTCCCAGGTCTTCATTGTGTGGCTCATCAACTTACCGGTAATTCCTCTGTAGTTGTTACAACTCTGTACATCACACTTGTTCTTATAAATGGGCACCAGCACACTTCTTCTCCATTCCTGAGGCATTTTCTCACCCTCAAATATACCATTAAATATTTGAGTAAAAAACTTCACTTCCATCTCTCCTAGACTTTTCCAAACCTCCACTGGTATGTCAT